AATCCCCAAATAGACGCTGTGTTTGAAGAGACGGACACACTGCGCAGCATCGCCGGCTATGTGGCAGAAGCCAAGGTTGCTGTAGGTTGCATATCCAACCCGACACCAAAATATCAAAAAACAACTAGAAACAGTTTCTGAATTATCCAGAATGTTATGAGATTCATAGCGCCCCAGGACGATACTTCAAGGCCCATGGCCACGAGGTATAGGATTTAAGACATACGTTGGCAACCCAAAGCATCACATAGACGCCGTGTAGACACCTGTCACAGATCCAGCTCTCGTGGTTTAAAGAGTAATACGGCCGCCCGAAAACCCGTGTAGACGCCTCATAAACACCTGTCATGCATCCAGCTCTCATGGCTGCAGAAGTGTTTTGGCAACCTGACAAACCACGAGGACACCTGGTACATACCTTCGACGCATCAAGTTGGCATGGCTTGCACATTTTTGGCAACCTGGCGCACATTTAGGCGGGGGATCCAGCTCTCATGGATTAAGAAATACTTCGGCAACCCATCACGCATTACTTGGTGTTTTCCTTTTTCTGCCCCAAAATCAAGCTCGCAAAGACTCAAAAACGCATCGCTTTCCTCTGCGACTTGCGAAACGCCACGAATTCCTGATGAGACGGTTCCCGTCTTATTTGCTTTTAAAACCAACTTCGCGCCACGAATTTCATCACTCCCTTTACAAAATCTAGACGCCATTTTGATACCTTTGGTGAGGCACCACGCCTTAGGGCAGAAACCCAGTAGCCAACAAACAGTGCGCCTCATGGCTCTCGCCATGTATCCTCCTCTAAAGCTTTGCAAGCTGTATAACCGTTGTAGTTAGACCCCATTTGCGACCTCCAAACCCCATTTGAAAGTCGACTTGATACGACTTCTGCGGGAGCACTTGCCCTTTGAGGGGAGACAATGGTATATAAAGCGGCCACAACTTCAACAAATGGGACTACCACCACCACTGCTCTGAATTGCAAGCTCTTATCCTGGAAAATGTGATAATGGCTAGGTTCCAAAAAAGCATAAACTAAAATCTTCAAGCCTTCAAGCCCCAAACCCCCAACTGCTCTTCTCTAAGCCCTATAACCCCATAACTCCTGTAAAGCCTACTTAAACCCTAGACCCTCCTTCTACCCTC